TAGGGCGGCGCGAAACTCGAATCCCCCTCCTCAACTTACCCGCGCAGGGCCAACCAAAATATTCGGCGGTTTCTCCGTAGTTCGGTCGGCGAGGAAGTTCCTAACCACTGGCGAATTCCTTCGCCACCTCCCCCTGCGTCGGACGCCCGCCGCTGCGCCCGCGCCAGTACGGCCGCGAAAGGCGCCCCCGCGAACTGGCCGCCCTGCCCCTGGACTCGTCGTCCATCTGCAGAAGCGACGCGCCCCTAAACGACTGGGAATCGACTAAGTTCGTTCGCGCGCAGCTTCTTCGCAGCCGACTTATTCGCGCCGCCGCCGCCCTGCAAGACTACGATCTCAGGCGGCAAAAGCTCGCCGCGAATCGCGGGGGCCCCGACTGCCACGACGACGACGCGCCCCACTGCAGGGCCCGCGCGCGAGATGCACAAGAACAGCCCGAGACGCTCGACGTCCGCCCGGGCAGGGGCGCACGCCAGGAGCGCAGGAGCGCGCCCGCGTAGCAATCGTTAGTCGGGGACCTCGGCATCTGCCCCAGACGAGTCCCTGCCGCCCCATGGCTGGACACGGCCAGCGCGCAAACCTCGAAATTAACTGCGATGCTGGGGCCACGGCGCGGCTGCTTAAACCGAGCACCATAGAGATTCACGCACTGCGACTGCCAACCAGAACGAGCGCGTTTCGGAAGCAGCGCCGGCTGGGGGCCTGCGAGTTCGAGTGGCCAAAGCCAGACCGCGTCCAGCTCGTCCATGCCTGCCCCTATCTCCTCGTCCAAAGCCCCTGCCTCTTCCTCTGCCACTGCCTCTGCCATATCCTCGGAGCGCGGCATTCGTCGCGGTCGCACGCTCCCAATAGACGAAGGCGCGAAGAGATGCCATCACATCGCCCCAGCGCCGCGGCGCGTTGTTCTGGGCCAATTATGCAAGCAGGCGAGCTGCACGAGTCACGCGTTCCTCTTTGTGGCCGAGCATGCGTTCATCTAGTTATTCCCCCGGTCGCCAAGCGCCTTCCCTGCGCTGCGCGACGTGCCCCTACGAGCGCGGAGTTCCCCCGTGAAGACAGCGCCGAGGACACGGGCGCACAAGAGGCCGTTGCGGAGGCTCCAAGGCGCGTTCATATCCACGTTCAAAGCTAACAAACTCCAGGCAGTAATTCCTCACATGCTCGGTTGGGTTCTGGTTTTCTTCTCTGCCGCGCCGCGCCCGCGACGCGCCCCCTCCTCCTCCTCCTCCTCCTCCTCCTCCTCCTCCTCCCCCCCTCCTCTCTCCCCACCCGCGCCGCGCCCGCGTCTCGCCCACGCCCGCCCCCCCTTTTCCACCTCCTCCTCCTCCTCGCGCACACAGCACAGCACAGCGCAGCACTGCCCTGCACAGTACAGCTCAGCTCAACACGGTACATCACAGCAAATCCCAGCACAACACATCACAACACAGCACAGCACACCGCAGCACAGACAACCCAAGCAGATCGCGGCAGGAGTGGCACTTTCTCGACGCCACAGGGGGCGCGCAGAGGGCGGCCCCTCAGCGCGGCCCCTATCCGCGACACGCTCGCAGATCGTGGCAGGGCAGAGGGTGGCCCCTCAGCGCGGCCTCAATCCGTGACACGCTCGCAGATCGCGGCAGGAGTGGCACTTTCTCGACGCCACGGGGGGCGCGCACAGGGTGGTCCCTCAGCGCGGTCTCTATACGCACCAGGGGAGGGGTGCGCAGGGGGTGGCCCCTCAGCGCGGTCTCTATACGCGCCTATTTTTGAGGGCCCAACAGTCGCGGCACTTTCTCGACATGCAACGGCATCGGGGCAACGGCCACCAACATCATTTTCACATGCTTCACGTCAGCTATCATCACTATAGCCATAATATAAGTATGCGGGGTTCCTCGGTAGCGTAATCAACGGTTTAGGCAAAACCCTCTCCTGCCCGAAAAGAAAATTTCACCCGTGAGCTTCTGAGGGAAATTATCGATGATCTTGCCGATCGAGCCGTCCACTGGATCCTGCTCAGGAAGGATTACCATCCCGCAACCGTTCTCGATGAATGGTGCGGGCTCAAAGGCTCCCAATGCTGCAATGTGACGCATCGTTCCGTCATCTGGCCAACGTCCTGGTCCACGTTCGCGCTGTCCTGCGCGCAGTCCTCCACAACGGGCACACCTCCGACGTGCGGCCCGCGACGAGCATGTTTGTCGTTGCGCTCCGTGCAGCACAGGACCTTCTGAGGCGTCGTGGGCCCTGCCGACGACGCGCAAGGGGCCGCAAGGGCGCGGCCAGGAGCCGTGGCCGACGTCCTTCACTGATAGAGATGGCGACGCTGCCGCTCCAAGAGCAGGAAGAGACGCACGTAGCGTCCGCCTGGTGCTCATGGAAAGCGACGTATTGAAGTACATAATGGGGGTGGTGCGAGACCGACGTTCAGGGTTTAGTTTGACCCAGAGCGACTAAAACGACGGTGCAACTATACATGCATGTTCTTTCCGTTTCGTCGGCGTTTCCTCCGCTGGCTCCCATGACTCTGTGATCCCCTGTATGATAAATGATATTTTTGTCGGCTGTTTGCGTGTGTCGTATTTATGTTTCTGGGGGCGACAAACAAACGAAAACAAGGGCCAGCGAACATCGAACAAAAAACAAAAATTGTAAGTAAATGCGAAAACCTTCAGAAGTTGAAGAAGTCATTGACGCTCTCCTGTAGAACTATAAAAAAGTTCGGCGTGAATTGCATTCGGTTGTTTATTTGAAAACAATTGGTGTCTTTAACGTGTTACTGTGTTCCACTCATTATGGTTGTTATGACTGGTCGTATCCTATGTGTCTGGGAAATAAATACACACGGAAGCAGGGGCAAAGGAGAATCGTGAAGGTGAGAAGTCCGAGAAAAAGGTTGACACCATACAGTCATTGTTTTTCAATATCAATCCAATCACAAGTTACCACAACCAAGGCGTCTGTTGGATGTCTCTGGGTGTCCTTGGAAATCCCTGGTATCTACAATGGTGTACCGTGTTCCTGTTTTTGTGATGTGTCGGGTGTATCGTATTTCGTTCTAACGCGTTCGGCTCGAATTCCGAAGACGCACTCTGCAATACAAAGTACAGTGATGCTGGTGACGACGACGACGACGACGACGACGACGACGAGGGGGAGGACGAGGAGGAGGAGGAGGAGGAGAAGGAGGAGGAGGAGGAGGGCAGTGAAGATGATGGCGGTGACGATTTTCGCGGATGGACGGTTCGGCCTCCCACGCGCGAGAGTGGACCCGCCTATTCCCCCTACCTCCCAGAGGCATCCAGGTCAACAGATGTCCCTGGAGGTCTCTCCTCCTCCTCCTCCTCCTCCTCCTCCACCTCCTCTTCCTCCTCCTCCTCCTCCTGCGGAGGGCAGAGGCGACGACGACGGTGGCGACGCCGCACCAGCGGCGACGACGAAGTACGACGGCACACGATGCACTGAAAGACGACCGTCGGGCAACGACGGCGCACAACGACGACGTACGACGACGACGACGAACCACTGACGACGACGACGACGACGACGACGACGACGACGACGACGACGGCAACGGTGACTGCTACAGACGCGACAACGCACGACGCTCGACGACGACGTCGACGACGTGCGACAACGCACGACGTTCGACGACGTCGTCGACCACGGCAAAGGCGGTAACGTACGACCATAGACGTCGACGTCGTGGCCGACAGCGGCGGCGGCGACGGGTGCGGCGTGCGGCGGCGGGCGGCAGCCTCGCCCCAAGGCCGCAGCGCGGTGACGGTGGCCTCCAGGCCGAGTTCCTCCGCCAGGCGCAGGTCGCGCCCCAGGCCATGGTCCTCGGCCGCCCAGGGGCGCGGCCGCGCCGCCGCGCGCCGATGCCGCCCGCCGCCCGCCGCTGGACGTCGCCGCCGCGCGGCGTAGTCGCCGCCGTGCGTCGACGTCGTCGCCGCCGCCGTCATCGCCTGAAACGTCGTCGCGCGTGCGTCGCGCGCCGCCGCCGCCGTGACCGCGGAACACCACCACGACGGCGACGGCAGGCGCCCGCCCGCGGCACGCAGCGGCTCGAGGCGGCCGCCGGGCGTCGAGGCGGCCATCGCCGCCTCCAAAGCCCGAGGGCGACCGAGCGGCGACGCCGCGGCGACGGCGTCGTCGCCGCAGGCGCGCCTCGGGACCCCTTGGGTTTCATGGGCGCTGTGCGAGGGTTCCTGGGATCCTGGGATCCCTTCAGTTTCCCCATCTTGGGGCCCTCATGGGGGCACTTTCAGGAGCGTACTCGCTGGAGGATCGAACACATCAAAAACTACACTTAGCAAAACTCCACCCAGTTGCGGGGACCAGGGGGGGCAATCAAAATTCGGTTAGGCGCGCTGGTCGGTCTGGGTGGACGGGCACCGCCTCGCGACCTACGACGGGGAGCGCTGGTCATGCGAAACACGTGGGGCGCCAAGCGTTGCAACTATCAGCATGTTTCACGGCGGGGCTAAGCGGCTGCTGCAACAGGAAATGATAACGCGAACTGCCGCTTCATCCGTGGGGGGGGATCCAGCACGGAAAAGAATTCGAAGGCGTGGGGCGTCTGGCCAGGCATTTACTTACGGCACGCATAGAACCGATCGCGGCTACAAAACTTGGCGAGACACGGGGATGAGGTGGAAGTGGAAGGACATAATGAAAGAGGCTGAGGCGGGGAAGGGCAGCGGGCAGTGCGAGGCGGAAAAGGACAGCGGCCATGCAGGTGGTTTCGCTGAGCCTGAGGAAGTGGGAAGTCGGCGGGGAGCGGCCCTGGGGACGGGGCCTCGGAGATGGGCAGCACGGGCAGCCGATGCTTCGCCAAAAGGGGACACGTACAGAACTACACTTAGCGGCCGTGGCACGGTACACGTCGGGAGCGCGAGTCGCGCCCCCGACATGTACCCCGCCCCGCTGGCTAGGTGTAGTTATATGAGTGCTCTGTTTTGTGAGGATGTCCCTGGCGAAACCAGCACGTACAGAACTACACCTAGCGCCTGGCTAAGGGTAGTTCTGAACGCGCTGGATGTCTCGAGCGGGGCGAGCACGTATAGACCGGCACCTAGCGAAAGTGGCAGGGTACAGGTCGGGGGCGTCGCCGCGCCTCCCCGCAGAGTCAGGAGGGCAGGGGCCACTGAAATCCCAGCCGCCCTCAGGCCGGCGGAGGCTGGACGTCCCAGGGATGCCCGAAAGGGACCCAACTGCGGCCAAGGGCACGCAACGAGGTCCCTGGGGGCCCCAAGAGCGCTCCACGACCTCCAGCCGCAATCTGAGGTCGTAGCGTCTTGGGGGAGGTCGTAGCGTCTTGGGGGTCTCCTGGAGCGCTTGGCGGGGTCTTGGATTCTTCCTGGGGCGCTCGGGAGGTCCCAGGAGCGCACCTGCTCGCCACGACATCTGGTCTCGATCCGGAGGTCGTGGCGTCTGGGGCCCCCGTGGGGCGTTTTGGGGGCACTGGGGGTTCCTCCTGTAGCCCATCATGGGTCCCACGAGCGCTGGTGGTCGCTACGACCTCTGACCTTGTTTTGGATCCCTCCATCCTCTTTGCCCCCCCCCGTGATCAGGGCAACTCGCCTGGTGACGATGTTTCGAGGATTTTAAAAGATATGCGCGCTCCGCCTCCGCCTCCTAATCGCGAGTTGTTATTTCTGATTCCACGCCGACTCTGGCTAGCGACGTCGAGGCCCTCGCAAATCCGACAAACGCGATGACCCCCCTCGAATGGCGGGCAAAACAAACTTTGGAACGATAGCCCAAAATTAATTTTGAAATTTCGGGATCCGCGAGAGAAACTAATCCACTCGCCCAAAGTGTAGCTCTCTATCTGTCCGAGAGGAACCACACCAGTTCTTCCCACGACCAGGGTCCCCCGCACTGGCGTGCGTGGGGGTGTGCGGTCGCCCGAGGGACTGGCGCCCCTCGGGCGGCTCATGGGGCGGCACGACTTGTTGATAGGCGTGTCGTTTCTGAGGCTGGACGCGGCTCAAAGAGCGATGTGTAGACCTGTGAAAGTGTTTCTTGTCCTCGCAGCGCGCAGCATGTTTTAGGAGCCTGTTTGGAGGCGCCTGCGGGAGAGTATTCTCGTCCTCGCAGTGTGCAGCCGAGCCCGTTTGCGCCGCATCTTGGACATGTGGGAAAGTGATAGTTCTCGCAAGTACAGCAGTCCTTCCGTCGAACCCTGCAGCCTCCCTCAGAAGGACAAGCGCTTCAAGTGGCTCGCGGGCCGTGGTAAAACCCACAGTTCGACAAGTGCTATGTGACTCGCGGTCCGTGGCACACGCGGCTGCCAGCGCTCGCTTGCAAACGGTTTGGTAAGGCCAACGCACGCCAAAATGTCATGTTTCGCGTTGCCGTGGACACACCCTGGTGCGCAATGAGCAGTCCTGTGCAGTCCTTCTCCTCTTCCTCCTCCTCCTCACCCTCCACCTCCTCCGCCTCATCCTCCATCTCTTCTCCTTTACAACGGCTCCCTGTCGCAGCCCCAGACGTGCCAATAGGCCGGGCTGGGAGTTCAGACTTCCTCCAGCAGGTTCAAGGATGGAGGGCGTTCAAAATGTGGCTCACTGCTCAGCGCCGCTTGCAGCCGTCTGAGAAGTTCGGCTACTTGGTTTTCATATGTAGCTCTCGCCTTAGCGCCGCGCACATTCGACTGAAAGGCTTGCAGCCGCTTTAACGATGCAGGGCATGTCGCTTTCACAAGTGAGCGCTCGCCTTAGCGCCGCGCACATTCGTCTGAAAAGTCTGCAGCCGCTTAAAGGATGGAGGGCGGCTCCTGTTCAAAATGTGGCTCTCGCCTTGGCGCCGCGCACGTTCGTCTCACCAGTTTGCAACAGGTTTGGAGGGTTCGTAGGACTGGACTCCCAGAAATTGTGTTCTAGCACGATTCAGGGTTGTCAGGGCGCGCCAATCACCTTGATTCGCGGTGTTGAAAACTAGGAATGGTGTCTCGAACGATTTAGAATTCTCAGGGCGCAACACGCAAGGTCATTCGCGGCGGTGCAGTCCCAGGAAGTGCGTTGATCCCGAAATGAAAACAAATTCTGATAGGGACCTGGAGGGAGTGCTGCTTGCAAAATGGTTGGTGCGTCTTGGGTTTACACTGGTCCTCCTCCTCCTCCTCATCCTCCTCCTCCTCCTCTTCATCCTCCTCCTTCTCCTCTCTACAACTACAGATTGAGAATACTACAGTCGGGGCGTTGACCTAAGGACCCCTAAATAAGGAACGAGGCCCCTTTTTTACCTAGCAGCGAAGACTGATAGCTTTCTAGTAGGGTCAACAGAGAGCATCATGACGCCCCAGGGGGGTCTGGGCGGGATCCGGGGGAGGATGCTGGGGATTCCTTTTCTAGCCAACAGTAACGCACTTCGTGGTCTTCGACTTCCCAGAACTCCATTCCCGGGATTGATTTCGAATGCCCGGAGCCAACTGTAGGCCACTTCGTGTTCTTCGAGTTCCCAGAACTCCATTCCTGGGCATGATTTTGAATGCCAGGAGCCAACTGTAGG